GTGGCGTGGGGGGGGGGCTGCGGGGGTGGTGCTGGTGGTGGTGATGGGGGGGCTCTTTTATTCTTTTATTTCTTTATTTCCTCCTGAAGCCATTAAAAAAAGTGCTGCTCAAGTAGATGTAAATAAAATAAGGGCTTATTGTGTGATCCTCTCATTTGCTCATTGGCACACAGTTAAAGGGGACGTCCACCCATTTTTTCAGAATTTCAGAATAATGCGAACAGAGTCGTGCAGAGAGGTTTGACGTGAAGTGTTTCGCAGTGGAGAAACTGATTCGAGGGGACGTGATGTTTGCAGTGCATTGTATTTACTCTCCAAAATCAGCATCTTTTTATAAGTAACAGTGATAATAATTTAAAAAAAAATTTTTAAAATTGCCTTACACCCGGCATGTACCCCTCCACCATGAATATGTCTTTTAAAACCTCAAAATGATCATAAAATAGTGTGAATTCATAACCATTTCATGTAGTAACTTTCTGTGAGGGAGCTTTTAGAGGTGGACGTCTGGTTCCTATCACCACCACTGTGAACAGTTCTCACTCTAGTTTCTCTGCTAGGATGGAGCGTCTCACATCAAAGCACTCTGCATGACTCTGTTTCCCTCTGAATGATATTATTTGGCAGAAATTTTTGAAAAAGTTGGTGGAATTCCCCTCTAAGGCCCAGATGTCTTTTTGCTTTGGCTGAACGAGGGTCCGCATTTGAAGGTGCTGTGCTTTTTGTAAACTGCTGGAACTTTGAGGACGTGGAAGAGCGCGATAAAGCGGACAGGACAGAAACAAAAAGTTCAGCGTGCAGTAAAATCCCCATGACTTTGGCCGAGAGAGAGAGAGAGGGGCACAGAGAGAGAGAGAGAGAGAGAGACAGAGAGAGAGAGCACCACTGCCTGTCTGCCTTTAATTGCTTTAGAGCGGCTCCTCACTCCTGCTCACGTTTAGCTCCCCTTTAAAGTGCTTTATTTCCATCGCTTCACAAGTTAATCCTCTTTCTCCCTCTCGCTGAGAGACGCAGCGCTGAGAAAGGATGGGAAAGGACCTCAAGCCTGCATGCTGAAATACTAATGATATTAATGCTGACTATCATCAGTGTAATTGTTTAATTGTGCTTCAGAATCATTCAGAAGTCAGACTGTGCACAAGCACACTTACAGTGCTGAAACATGGTGTCTTATTTTGACCACGCTCTCCTGGCCAGTCCGGGTTTAAAGGACGGGTTTATTCAGCAGGGCTGTCGCAGAAGAAACAAATCCTAGAGAGAAGAAAGCTGAGATGCAGACGCTCCCTCATAATTTTACACTGTTCTGCAGGGAAGTCAGTGCTAATGCTGACTGAGACGTTTGGTTACCAAATACAAAACAGTGTTTATGTGCAAATACTTACTGTACACTCACTTATTTTTACACGCAAAATTAATTCTACAGTCTAAAAAAGATGCTTCGTCAAGGGTTTTAGTAACGAAAATGGTTCTTTATGGAACCATAAACACTCAAGGAACCCCTTGCATGATTAAAGGGTTCTTTGCATCATGAAAGGGTTCTTCAGAATCATGGAAAATGTGCGTGAATGTGCTATAGACAGTTCTATGTAGAACCTTTTTGAAAAGGGTTCTTCTATTGTTACGAGCTTGACATTATCACTATAAAAGAACCTATTTGGTTGCCACATAGAACCCTTTTCGATAAGGTTCTGTATAGAACCACCTACACACATTGTCAATCAGTCTGAAGAACCCTTTCATGATGCAAAGAACTCTTCAATCATGTAAAACGTTGTTTGAGTGTTTATGCTTCTCTATAGAACCATTTTCTTTACTGAAGAACCCTTGAAACACCATCTTTTTTAAGAGTGTATAGACTTAACGTAGGAAGGATATACATACATATCTATCTATCTATCTATCTATCTATCTATCTATCTATCTATTCATATATATATGTATAAATATACATATATATATACATATATATATATATATACAAACACACACACACACACATACATACATGTCCATATCTATATATATCTATATCTATTTATATACATATATATATATATATATATATATATATGGCCACAGCACTATATATATATATATATATATATATATATATATATAGTGCTGTGGTCATTTCAAAACCTCAAATCTCCAGAATGAAAACTTCTTTACAGGAAAACAAATAAAACCCTCTTAACTTCAATGGAAATTTGAATGGAACAAAATTTTTTTCATGTAATTTTGGAGCATTCCTATTGGTCCATTCATCATAAAATTTAATACAGTGTTGAGAGAGGCTGGCATTTTCATTATCTGTACATATATATTAAAAACAACAAAAAATGGAGACACAAAGTTTTGTATTTACACATATGATTACATTATGCACTCACTTCTATGTATTATATTATGTGTTAAAGACAATATTTTACATGTACACAACACATAGCGCTGCTGATGGAACAAAACCTCGTATCTCCATTTTTGTTGTTTTTCAGTTTTTGACATAATTTGAAAATGCCTGTTGGTCTTTACATTGTGTATAAATTTCATGCTGAATGGACCAAAAGAAACATCCCAAAATTACTTAGAAATATGTCTGGTTCCATTGACTTACATTAAAAGTAAAGTAGGTTTTTTCCTTCTCCTGTAAAGTTACCATTTTGGAGATACGAAGTTTTGATGTGACATCTGCGATATATAAATACCATATGTAGTATATACATTATATCTACCATCATGTATAGTGTAATGCACTATACATGATGAACATTTCTATTTTGCATTCTTTCAAATTCAATAATTTTTTTTCATTACAATTAATATCAGCATAACAATGTCAGTGAAAAGTCTTGGTAATCTATACATGAATATTCTGATCTAATCCACCCGAGTGTTGCCTGAACGTGAGCTTCAGTGGAAGAAGTAAGACGAAAAAAGCAACCTGACCTTTTTGTACAAAGACCTTAACACGGTCAGGGTCGCAAGTTTGCTTCAGTGTGATTAAAGACCCAAAAATAGTGCAGAATCTAGATTATTTCCTCTTTATTCTACCTGTGAAAACTACCCTGTTTTGTATCCCAGATTCTCAGTGTGGTCTGAGACTTCTGGGCTCTATTGTGTGAGTATATGGTGTAGCATTGATGTCTTGTGACTACAGCAGGCTGTAGTGTCTGAATAACATTTGGACTGAGGGGGAGATTCTTTCATTCCTAGACTCCGTTAGATGAGAACTTGTGGTCAAAGATAATAAATTCAGCTGAGGATTTTCTCCCTCCCTCCCTCTCTCTCTCTCTCTCCCTCTCTCTCTCCCTCTCTCTCTCTCCCTCTTTAACACATTATGCAGCTTTACATTAAAGGGCCACTCTGCCTAAACGCTTTTTGCTCCAGGAGAAGAAATCTTCTCTTAAAAACCCAAAAACCCTTCAAGAAGAGAAGAAGGGCATTATTGTTTTAATCCTCTTAGCCGCAGTCATTTGGAGACAGAGGGCTTTCGCTCGCTCGCCCAGCGCCTCGCTCGCCCGGATCCTCAGGCCCGCCGAGATTGGCCATCTATTAGCCTCCTGTAAAAGTCCCTGCACAGGCATGACAAAGCCTAAACGCAAACAAAACGCAGGCGGGAGACGCTCCCCGCGCTGAAGGAGAGAAAAATGCTGGAATATGAGGGAGCGGGAGGCTAACGCGGGGGGAAAAAGACCCTGCAGGGCTGAGAGAACCACAGGAAAACACTCAGAAAACACTGCACCTTTACATGGAGCTTTAAAGTTGCAATAGCTTTTAAAAAAGCTAAATTCAACAGGACTGTTACATCAGCCCAGTGAAACCTAAACTGTGGCTACTGTTTTGGTTTTATTTTGGGTTAATTTGGTTACATTTAAGTTAATTTAGATTTATTTACCTTTATTTAGGTTTATCTAGGTTTATTTTGACCTGCTTTTGTTTTTATTCCACGTTAATTTGGTTACATTTGGGTTAGTTCAGGTTTCTTTGGTTTTATTTGGGTTTTACGCTTTATTATTTTGGGTTAATTTGACGATATTTGGTTTGATATTGGTTTCTTTAGCTGTATTTGGGTTTATCTAGTTTTATCTACACTTTATTTTGGTTTTATTTTCAGTTAATTTGACTAAATTTGGGTCGATTTAATTTTCATTAGCCTTATTTGGGTTTATCTAGTTTTATTTTGGCTTTATTTTAGCTTAAATTTGGGTTAATTCAGATTTCTTTAGCTTTGTTTTGGCTTTTTGGCTTTATTTTGATTTTGTTCTGGGGTAATTGTTTTTATTCTGAGTTATTTTAGGCTTCTTTGTACTTTTGCTTCAGTTTATTTTGGTTTCATTTGCTTTTAATTTGTTTTAATTGGTTTTAAATGCTTTTATTTCTATTTTATTATTGCATTTGGAGATCATGTACAAGCATATGTGCACAAAATGTGTCATTTTTGATTTTTGGATTGTGTTTCTCGAATCTGACTATGATGTCAATACATTTAAATATTTAAATATGATAATAGAACATACAAATGAGCTATTAAACAGCATAAACAGTAAAAACTACAACAAAAACAGAAAAACACAGTAAACAACATTGACTTTCTCTTCAAAAAGTGTAATAAACTCCAAATCCCAGGGATTTACATATGTTTAAAAGTGTTCATCCCCCCATTCTTGGACGTATTTCAAGTCCTAATGGTTTGTTGTATTGCTTAATATTATCAGCGAGTGATTTAGGGATTAAAAGTTGAGTCAACGGCCTCAAGCGCATCAGACGAGAGTGAAAAAAAAGAAAAATCCTCAGCAGGGTTTGATTGACAGCTCCGAGCTCCAATAGCGAGCTGAGCTGAGGAGCGTCCGGCCTCTTTATAACCCTCCTACACAGAGTGTGTGTGTGTGTAGATGGCAGAGGAGCTTCGGAGAGGAGCTGAACACACACTCTCTCACACACTCTCACACACACCTGGATGGACTCGGACTGAAAAAGAAGGAGAAGAAGAAGAAGAAAACCAGCAGGACGAGCGGATGTGGAACTGATATATTCATATAAAGAAGCAGAACTCAGAAGATATTATTTCTGCTGGAGAGAGAAACAGAGGTAAGACAACTTCTGCTCTCATTTACACACACTTATAAATTTAATTCCACAGCCGGGAATAACAAACTCAGTTTAGCATCAAATTACACTGTAATAACAATGTTATTACATATGAAATTTGTCTAGAATTGGAAATGTAGACGCGACAGCGCTGTTTGTTTAGACTTTGTAAACCCGGAGTCTAAAACCAAACCCTAAATCTACATTTGAAGCAGACTAAATTATCAAGGCACCACAGTTAAACCCGTCTGAATTTCAAATTTGAATTTATTCTGAATTTAAAGTTTTCTTAATTAAAGGACTGCACAGTAACGAGACAGTGCAATGTCACATTTAATCAGCTTTATTCAGTAAACATTATCAGTGTTTGATCTACAAAAATTCTGTAGATGATGTGTATCATACACATATATGTATGTATTTTATGACATATTTTATGGAACGTACACATGATAATGTAATGGATATCAAACAAATGGTTTGATAAAATAGTTAAAGATAAATATTATACAAAGTTAGCAATACACAATGATACGGCTTGTTAAATGACAATGTAGTTTATAAACTAATTGTATAGTTATAATACAGTAATAAAACATGGATAAGAAAGTAATAAAGTTGTAATAAAGTTTACAAAGTCTTTAACGCATTAAAAGTTTTTCAACACATTTTTAGTCGTGTTACTATAGCTTATAAACGCTAGTGAAGTTTTTTTTTTTTTCCTGTATGGAAGCCGAAAGTTCACTATAAATTTGTTTTATTATATATTTTTAAGATTAATAATGTCGGTTGTCTAGTTGAAATGATAATTTGATTTAAATCTGATCAACTTAAAGGGAGAAAAAGAACTAAATATGTTCATTACTGCACTTTGTTATTACTGTTATTTGAACTTTTACACTGAAAACTGCTTAGATAGATAGATAGATAGATAGATAGATAGATAGATAGATAGATAGATTTGACTTATATTTACATTACTATGAATGCAAAATGCAGCAAACAAATTAAAAACATAAAAATTCTAAATAGTGTAAATCATCTAGATCTCCCTCTATAATAAATTAATAATAATATTAATAATTAGATGCGACTAAAGTCAACAGTAATTCAGATCCATTGTTATCTGGGTTTGTACCGGACTTTCAGTCAACGTTTAACACTGAAACTAAACCAGGTTCTGTTTTAGAAGCAGACGGACGGACTAAAATGATAACTGGAGAAATAAACGCCTGCAAATTTTAACTTTTTTGTGATGTAGTCCGATCGCAGGCCGCACTGTCCACGCCAGTTTACATAATGATGTTTTAATAACTGAACCGTGAAGTGTAACCCCCCCCCACACCCCCCCACTCTGCCCCGCAGCACTAACAGGGTGGATGAATGGATGACAATAGCTTTGAAACTCACTATTAACAAATTAAAAATAAGCTGCTCTTTGTGCTGATGATCCGTTTGACCCCTGTGGCAAAAAAAGAAACCCTACAGATGGAGGGAAGGGAGGAAAAAACACGAGGAGCGGAGGAGGACTGGAGGAGTCGAGGAGGAGGAGTGGACAGATTCTAAAATCACACTGAACAAAACCAGACAGCAAAAAAAAAGACAGTAATAAAAGTGACTTTTTTTTATCTCAGACTGTTTAATGAAAAAAAAAAGGATTCGTGAGCGGCGCCATAGAAGAACCACACTCGGTTCCCTAAAGAACCAGGTTTGAAAAAGAACCAGACTTTCAAAGCCGTCACTTCACATAAACGTTCTTCCCTTATTTAGAATACTCAGAGAGGTTCTTTCCGCTTTAATAAGGTTCTCTGTACTTGTATGTATCGTTTGCAAAACGTTTTCTAAATGAAATGTGTGGAAGCGAAGAACCCAAAACCTTTAGAGCCTTTTTTGAAGTTCTCATCATATAAATGTTCCTCATTTAATGGTTCTTCATTCGCTCACATCATGTGAAGGTTGTTTCAACTTTAAAAAGGTTCTCCACACTCGCACATCTCACTTAGAGAACCCAGAGATTTATGAGTGTGAAGAACCTTTTAAAAGTCTTTGCATAATGTAAAGGTTCTTTAACAGTTTGAGGAGTTTAAGGGTTCTTCCTGGAACCTTGACTTTTGTTATGTGGAGGTTCTTTCAACTTTAAAAAAGCCTCTTCACACTTTTTACAAAAATGGTTCCCTGTGCATTGAAAGGTTTTTTGGGGAACCAAATGTGGCTCTTCAAGTGCGAAGAACCTTTTTTGGCACCTGCATCGAATTGACTTGATTAAGATCATTTTCCATAAAAATAGTAGCCAAAAGTATATTTCTATATATAAACAAGCTTAAAAAAGACGGTTCTTCAGGAGGTTCCATATAGAACCATAAGTTCTATATAACACCATTTCATGCTTACATGTTTTTTTTTTTTTTGCACGGTGAAATGATTCTTCAGAGAGGTGGAGAATGTGTTGTATATGGTTCTTCAAGATTTCTTTAGTAAAGGCAATGGTTCTATTTAAAACTATGGGTTCTACAAAAAAAACATTCCATGTTTAAATGGATCTTTGCATGGCGGAATGGTTCTTCAGAGTGATGGAGAGTATATTGTATATGGTTCTTCAGGGATTTTTAAGTAAAGGCAATGGTTCTACTTGGTTTGACATCGTAACAGCAGAACCATTTTGGTGTTAAATGGAAGGTTCCATATAGAACCATATACAACAGATTCTCCATAAATCTAAATTTCACCATGCAAAGACCCATGCAAAGCATGCAAATGGTTCTATATAGAATTCATGGTTCTAAATAGGACCATTGCCTGCATAAAGAACCCTTGAAGAACCGTCTTTTTTAAGAGGGTTGAAAAGAATGTATACTTTTACGTGTACAGAGCTGCTGTATGTATTTTATTCATGTGAAAATGGCATAAAAATTCAAATGCAGTCACTTTCATCCGTTTAAACTCCAACAGTGAGCGAAGCCCAGATTATGACGATGCTCTAATCTGCCGCTCCGTAATCTGAGCTGATGAAAGTGTGAAGTTAGGTGTGAAGCTCTGAGAGCGTCCGGTTTGTGCAGGGTTGATAAATGGAGGCCTCCTCAGTCGAAACCTATTTGCACTTCCATTAAGACGGAGGGACCCAAATGGGGATCCAAACATGCATATTTTTACCCTCAGAGAAGCCATACATCTCAGCCAAAACTGCCCCGGGGGCAGGAGGAGGGGGTGAGAGGAGGGGGTAAAGGGGGGGCTGGACAGACCCATTCAATTCAAATACTTCAGGGGGGGAAAAAGTAAATGTTTAGCAAAGCACCTTCTGTCCGAGCGAATTAAAACTATTCCCTGCTGGCCTGTGATCACATCCATCAGCCACTGCTCTGAGTTAATAGGGTGGGAGTGGGCACTGCAGGGGGGCATTTAAACTGCCCAAACTACCCCCTCCCCTTCCCCAAATCCCCCAGCACTCCCACCCACCCCCGCCGCCACCGCAGCGCCGCAGCCCTTTAATACACTGTACCTTCACTAACACTAACCAGAGCAACTTAAACAGGGCAGCGTGCAGCTCTGAGCCTCTGTCTCCTGCTGCTTATTCACTGTTTACTGTTTACTGTTTATGTTTATGTTTATGTTTTCAGTGTATTTTCCCTGTTTTATATTTATGAAGAAGTCAAAGAGCAATTTCCACTGGACTATACAGTTAATCTATCTATCTATCTATCTATCTATCTATATATATATATATATATATTTGCTTTTCTCCAAAATGATCAGGAATAATAATTTTTTCCAATTTTTTCTCCTTAGCTAGTTTAGTGCTTTAAGCAGTGTTTTCAGCAGCATACACAATATATACAACTAAATAGGAAGACATGGAATTAAATACAACAACAACAATAATAATAATAATAATAATAATAATAATGAAATGCTGAATACATTTATAAATGTATTACACAACTGAAATACTGTTATTTATATTCTTATATTGCAAAACTAACCAAATAAAAAAGATAAGTCACGTATATAGAGAATAATAATAATAACAATAATAATGTTAATAATAATAATAATAATAATAATAATAATACAATAATGTGCTAGAAATAATCTGACCATGAAATAATCTTGAAACATTTTGTTTGTCATCCTGATTAAATTAAGCATGTAACCTTGATTCATGCGTACCATTAATTAATTAGTCAGAGGTCTGAAATCAAGATTATTTTAATTAATTAAATAATAAAATAAAAATAAAATAAACAGAAACAAAAGCAATAAGCAGCGAAAAAAAACAAAAACTATTTCACCCTTCACTTATTAACTCATTCACTATGATATATTTTTAATTATTAATATTATTATTACTGTCATTATTATTATTATTATTATTATTATTATTATTATTATTATTATTATTAATATTATTAGTAGTAGTAGTAGTATTAGTATTAGTATTATTATTATTATTATTATCGGGATATTGCTTCTTAATGTGGCTGTTGGATTTAAACTGACAACCAACACAAATACAGCGTTTATAATTGTATTATATATATTATAACATGATTATAACATGATTATAACATAATTGTAAGACGAATAATCATTTTATTGCGGTGTGATTGATTCTAAGCTGCTTGTTCAAAATTCTTGCACTGTTTATGGATGAATAAGTGGTTTAGTGATGCTGTATCAGCACAACAACATGCACACTCATATGTAATCTGTATATGTTTATAATAAAGTATAAACGTGTGAACTTTCAGAATGAAACATTTGGCAACTTATTCGTGAAGCAAAGCGCATAAAAAACTAAAAAACTGAAGTATCCCCTGTCCGAGGTGTCCGGCTGTCAGTGCGCGCGGTGATTAAATGGTGATTATTGCTGATTATGCTGTAATTGCGCTGGATGTCCCTCATTAGGGAGTTTTTAGAGCTCGCTGATCTCGTGAGCGCTGTTTCAGTGCAGGATTAGTTTCACTAATTGAGTGATTAAATTCACGCGCGGAGCCGCATCCTATTAGATAAACAGGGCGATAATTGCACCAATTAGATTCATTTATGCGACTAATGGGCTGGACAAGGGCAGTAATGCGATATTAATGGATATCCTAAAAGTGGACCAGCTCGTGCGCAGTGCTGCCCGTGTGAAATCACATGCATACTCACTGCTAGCGGAATTATTAAATATTAATTAGACTGTATTTGCATATGATGCCCGTGTGTGACAGTGTGTCTGCGCTGCTTACGAGGGGAGAGAGCAGGAGAGCGGTGGGGTAACTGTGCTGGGGGGGCCTGCAGGGGGCGTAGTGCTGAGGGTGGTGCTCATTAGTGCTGGTGGTGTCTTTCAGCGGCGGTGGTCATGCAGCATTACGGAGTGAACGGCTATTCCCTGCACGCGATGAACTCTCTGAGCGCCATGTATAACCTCCACCAGCAGGCGGCGCAGCAGGCGCAGCACACCGCCGACTACAGACCGTCAGTGCACGCGCTCACACTGGCCGAGAGACTGGCAGGTAAGGACAGGTGTCTGTGTCTGTCTCTCTCTCTCTCTCTGTATATATACATATATATATATATATATATATATATATATATATATACACACACACGTTTATATATATATATAATGTAGAGAGAAAAAAGTATATATATATATATATATCTTTATCTAACTTATCTCTCTATTTCTCTACTTTTATCTCTTCTTTCTTTTTTTCTCTAAATCTTTTCTGTATCTCTCTCTCTCTCTCTCTCTCTCTCTCTCTCTCTATGTATATATATATATATATATATATATATATATATATATATATATATATATATATATATAGTTTTTCCGCTCTTCTTCTGTCTTTTTCTTATAAATTCTATTTTCTCTGTATTTTCTTTACTATTAGGCTTTTATTTTTAACGTCACGCTCCAGCCTCAGCTCCTGTCTCTCTATCAGCCGCGAAGCCGAAGTTGCCTTCTTATTCGCCAGATTCTCTTCAGAACGTTCCGTTCCACCTTAAATGATTTCAGCAATTACATTCAGCCGCTGTCCCATTTAAGGTGGAACGGGATATTAGCTGAAGACTTGCTGGGGAATAAGCAGCCAACTTCAGTCTCTGTCTGTGTATCGGTCATGTTTCACGCGCACACGCGATAACCCTTGACCATGTGCCCTCACACGCGCGCGTGCAGTTGATTGAATGGCTCCTGTTCTTCTCTCCTCCGTAAACGGGCCCTACGCTGTTAGACATCATCCTGGAGGCTCGATACGGCTCTCAGCACCGCAAGCAGCGGCGGAGCCGCACGGCCTTCACCGCGCAGCAGCTCGAGGCGCTGGAGAAGACCTTCCAGAAGACGCACTACCCGGACGTGGTGATGCGCGAGCGCCTGGCCATGTGCACCAACCTGCCCGAGGCGCGCGTCCAGGTGAGGCCGCGTCACTTTTACTTACAAAACACGTTCATTCTCATAGTGCGCTGTTTGTTTAATGCGCTGTAAAACGCACTGCGGTTTACCGGATTAATTTATACAGGAGTGAATTATATTAACACCGTCTGTCTTTCAGTTCACTGACCTTAACTGTGTCCATCTAACACATTCAACTCGTGTGCAAGAGGAGAACACGTTGAAACAAATTCAGCGAATCATCAATTTTATACATTTTAGACATTAACTTCTTTAAAGGGACATACCATAGAAAATCAAATTTCTTTATTTACTGAGTCCATATTATAGAAAATAATATATGGACTCATTCAAAGGGTATAAAATACATAAAACCAAAAGAGGTTTTAGAGGGGCCAATTTTCCTAATTTAAAGGGCCATATCATAGAAAATCTAATTTCCTAATTTAAAGGGCCATAGCATAGAAGATCTAATTTTCCTAATTTAAAGGGCCATATCATAGAAAATCAAATTTCCTAATTTAAAGGGCCATATCATAGAAAATCAAATTTCCTAATTTAAGGGGCCATATCATAGAAAATCTAATTTCCTAATTTAAAGGGCCATAGCATAGAAAATCAGATTTCCTAATTTAAGGGGCCATAGCATAGAAAATCTAATTTCCTAATTTAAGGGACCATATCATAGAAAATCTAATTTCCTAATTTAAAGGGACATATCATAGAAAATCTAATTTCCTAATTTAAAGGGCCATAGCATAGAAAATCAGATTTCCTAATTTAAGGGGCCATAGCATAGAAAATCTAATTTCCTAATTTAAGGGACCATATCATAGAAAATCTAATTTCCTAATTTAAAGGGCCATATCATAGAAAATCAAATTTCCTAATTTAAGGGGCCATAGCATAGAAAATCAAATTTCCTAATTTAAAGGGCCATAGCATAGAAAATCAAATTTCCTAATTTAAAGGGTCTATAATATATAAAATCAAAATTCCCTTGTTCAGAGAGCCCAATTTTCCTTATTTAAGAGGCTGATATCATAGAAAAACAAAATTCCCTTGTTCTTTACCAGCTGTTTTTGTGATGTCTTTAAACCCAACACACAACCTGTTCAGCTCAGGCACTTTCTAACTCGACCAAAAATCCCACAAACAGATAATTACAGTATCATTTAAGCTTGAATAACTTCTAGTTTCTGCCAAAATAGCAAAATACAAAAAAAATCTAAACATACATTTTGTTGTCCAGTTTAGTGTTATTGTATATAAAATAACCAAAAACATTCATATAAAAAGTGATTCCAAACTTTTGAATGCTGATTATTTAGACTTATAAGAATTTATGAGCTTGAAAACAGAATCAGCTGCACTGAGAAGAGGAACCAAACCTGTGTTCCTCTAATCAGCTCACGTAGCAAGAACCTCACAGAAAACCACACGTTGTTGTTACTTTTGATTGTATTTATGTTTATTTGTATTTATGCTGATGTTATATAGTTTTACTGCCCAGATAAGCAGTTGGCCCAGAGAACAGGGCTGTGTGTATTTGGTGTGATGACTGTGCTGTTCTGTCTTTTAGGTTTAGGTTTTAGTTTCTTATTATTTAATTCAGGGGGGCTAAAACTTTTGATCCTGTGCATTGTTTGTGCAATAGGGTGAGGGACAAAAAGGCAAAACAATATACAAATAAAGTTCAGTTTAAAGTCTTTACAAGTTCAGTTTAGACATTTATGTCATAACATTAAATTGTGTTACTAAAATACTTTTAATTTTAAAAGGAAAATAAGAATTTAGTAATTATGTGTGGGTGAGGGGGAGGGGGTGGGGCTTCTGGTGGGCCAAATCAAACGTCCTCACGCCCAGCCTTGGCCTGCAGGCCCCACTTTGGGCAGCCCTGATTTGATTTAATACATTTAATTGAACAACCATTTGTAAACTAATTTAATTTTTAACTGCTGTTCAGACCTTTGGTCACATTTGAAAATATATAATCATACAGTCAGTCCTATTTGTCATATGTACAATCTGCACTGTAAAACCTGATGAGTTGAGTTAACTCAGTCGGTTTGAGGAAACTGCTTGCCTTAAATATTTTAATTTAAATAACTCAAATCATTGGATCATAAATAAATAACGAGTATGAACAAAGCATATGTTTATTGTAAGTAAATTGAATAAATTGTACTAATTGAGTATTTGGAGAGTCCAAATCATTTAAATGTAAACATTTCTATCACATAAATTCACTGATACAAAACTGTCCAACAGCTTAACCACTGAACCAACTGATGTTTTAGCTAAAAACATTAGAACATATTCCGTTTGTCCTGAGGCGACCAGCGACTCCTGATGGGCACCAAGACTATTTTATGAGCTCGGCATCACTCTTAACATAAGTAATTCTGAATAGGCTAAAACTAAGACTGATATAAGGAGTAAACAGTCTGTCATTCATTGTAATGGTGCCACCTGAAAAGAGGAAAATAATCAAGCCACTCTAAATTTTCAACAATCTTTGAAAACAACCTACTATCGGCCTTTGTATTTGCATGTAAAGTCAACTTAAATACATACATACATACATCTTCTAAACCGCTTATCCTTCTGGGTCGCGGTGGGGTGCTGGAGCCTATCCCACCTGTCATTGGGCGGAAGGCAGGATACACCCTGGACAGGTCGCCAGTCCATCGCAGGGCAGACAGACAGACATACACATTCACACACTCACTCACACCTAAGGGGCAATTTAGCAGTCAACTTAAATAAAAACAGTGAATTTAATACATTAAAATAAAGTTACCTTAACTCAAAATGAGCTAAAAAACAAAACAATCTCAACAATTCATGTTTGAGTCAGTTTGAATTTTTCAGATTATGTTACTCCAACTTTCTGTGGTATTTAAGTTGTTTTAGCTTTAATTTAAATGTGCAGTTAGGTTTCACAGTGTGGCAAATGAGGCTCAGATGAATTCTCTCTACAGCTGTTCAAACACAATGTAAGCATAAGAGAACAAAACCTTGTACCTTAGGAAAAGTAACTTAACACGAGAAGCAAAAACGCCTTTACATGGCAAAATAAGCAAATGTAACAAGACTTCTTTCAGAGTCATTTTGCTCCGTTTCTCTTGGGCTGTTCATCAGGATAGTTCGCTATAAAGGGCAGATGGTGTTTTCAAATGATGTAAAACAAAGAAAAAGTGGAGACACAGCATTTTGTTCCGACATCGTTACATACTTGACTCGACTGATTCAATGAAGACTTCTCCAGTTAAACAGGTTTAGACTGACATGCACTGGTCGATCACTGAAAGCTGTAGCTCTAACGTTCTGAAATGATGGGATGCCTCTTCTTTATCGCTATTCAAAGCTCACTTCACTCTTTCTTGTGTTTGAATAAGTGATGCTCTCTCATTCTTCTTAAAAGCTCTTAAATGTTCTTAAGAGCTGCACACTTAAAAACAGACTTTGAAGAATCATTGAAAAGTTCTTAGGTATAGAGAATATTTTAATTGATGTATGTAAATAATTAAAGTAACTGTAGCTTAATTAGAGTGGCACACATAAAAGAACCAAGCATTTAAAAGTGGTTCTCTGAGTTTGTCATATGTAACCGCTGCCTTTATTAAAGAACCCTTAAAAATATATATTTTACATATTTTAATAGTGTAGATCACCTTATCCTGAGGTCAAAGAACCACTTTTAAATGCTTCGTTCTTTTATGTGTGCCACTCTAATTAAGCTACAGTTACTTTAATTATTTACATACGTCAATTAAAATATTCTCTATTGCATCTACTATTATTGTTGTTTCTATTATTATGAGCAGTAGTAATATTATTCTATGGACTAATCCATATTACTGATAACTTGTTGTTCATGATTCTTTAATTATAATAATAAGTCTACAGTCGTATGCAAAAGTTTGGGCACCCCCGGTCAAATGACATGTATTGTTGATTGTCTTCGAATATTTCAGGTTTATTTTTTTCCCAATAAGTTAAACCCAGCAAATAAATAGATATTGTCCACCAACATTGCAGAAAACTACCCTGAACTGTGTTCTCTGTAGAGGATGTGTTGCTTAATTTCACTCAGAAGATCAACAAAACATGTAATTTCATCAGGGGTGTATAAACCTTTGCATATAACTGTATATAGCACCAAAAAGGTTCTGCTACTGTTGTATCAGTCATAGAACCTTTTTGGTGCTATATACAGTCATATGCAAAAGTTTGTACCCAACAAAACAGAAGATTTGGCTGGGGTGTACAAACTTTTGCACCAAACAGCGTTCTGCTATTGTACAAATCATAGAACCTTTTTTGGTATAATCTAGAACCCTTTTTGCCAAAAGTGTGTATGTTCTACACTTTAATGCTCTCAAATGTCCTTGACACTATATCACCACAAATGATGATGATGATGATGGTGATGGTGATGATGATGATGACGACTGTCCATCTGACCTCACCTTCCCTCTGAACCCAGGTTTGGTTCAAGAACCGCCGGGCGAAGTTCCGTAAGAAGCAGCGCAGCCTGCAGAAGGAGCAGCTGCAGAAGCAGAAAGAAGCGTCCCCTGACGGAGCTCTGGGAACCAGCGAGAAGAACGAGTCTCCTTCCACCATCAGCCTGGAGAACCCACTGCCTCCTTCATCCTCCTCCTCCTCCTCTTCCTCCATGGAGGCTGAGGGGCCGCAGCACACTCTAGGCTCGGAGCTGAGCGTGGAGCTGAACGTCACCTCAGCCGAGCAGTCGGGGAGCGAGTCCGCCACGGAGGATAACACCACGGACCGGGAGGAGGAGCTGAAGCCTCAGAGAGACGAGCTGAAGGCAGAGAAGCTGCAGTCTGGAGCGCAATCGCCCGCCTGCAAACGCCTCAGCCCTAAACCAGGTGAGCAGCAGCTGCTAGCGTTCAAGGATAAAGGAAAACAGGCTTGTGCAAAAGTTTTAACACCCCTGCTGATTTTTTTTTTTTCTAAGTGAAAAAATACGTCAACAGAGAATTTGAATGCAGCATTTTTCTACAATTTTTAACCTATTAGAAAAAGATAAAATATTAAATATGAAACGTACCAGAACTTTTGCACAGGTCACATTTCATGTTTTAGTTTTTCCCAATATGTTAAATTCAGCAAATAAACAGCAATTTTGCATTAAAATGTGCAGACGTGTGTTCTGTGTGGGGGATGTATTTAATATCTTCGCTTAGAAAATGAACAAAACATGGAATTTGACTGAAAAAAATATATTTACACAGTTTCCCCACTTACATTACAGCGGCTGAGACATGCATACGTCTTTAGTTCTGCACAGGAGCGACCAGCCTGATAGCTAACAAGTGACTAAAGAGCTCAGAAGCTTGTAGATCACCAGTTAGACAAACTACATGATGCTAATCAGTGTCTGCATGATGGTAAATGGAATACATAAACATGAGCCTTATAGCCTCTTGTAGCCACTGTATCTCATCTGGTGCTTTACCAGCCTCCCTCTACCCCATTCATCAGTTTCTGACCAAAGGACTGCTGTTGTCCAGATATTATTTGGGTGATGGTCTATTCTTGGCACAACAGTGTTTCTGGGGTTTTTACACAGGTCAGTGTCACTGCAAGGTTCATAGGGGTCCACCACCCAAAAATATCCAGCCAAGAGCTGCTCTGTGGTCAGAAGTGAACCATTCATGGTCAGTGGTAAAAACCATGAACCAGATGGTTGCTGGTTGTAATCCTAGGACTGGCTATGTATTCCTGGTTGGTTAATAGGGCTGTATTAGTAGAGGTCAGTAGTACTAGGATCTTTGAAACAACTACTTTACAGTTGTGCCTTTGGGCGAGGCACTTAACCCCTTAAAGAGCAGGCCAATTATTCTTACATCTTAAATTACATCTTACATCTTAAAAGTGTATTGTTTAGTGAGTAGTTTGAATTATTCAAGTTCTATCTACAATGAGTTCAGTAGTATGTACTATGATTTATTCAACATCTACTATTAAATTATTCAGTACTATGAAATACTTAGTATCTGCTATTAATTATTAAGTATCTACAATCATTTTTCAGTATCTACTACAAAGTATTCAGTATCTACTATGAATTAGTCAGTATCTACTATGAAATATTTAGTATCTGCTATTAATTATTAAGTATCTACTATCATTTTACAGTATCTACTATACATTTTTTAGTATCTACTATTAATTATTAGGCATCTACTATCATTTTTCAGTATCTACTACAAAGTATTCAGTATCTACTACAAATTAGTCAATATCTACTATCAAATATTTAGTATGTGCTATTAATTAAGTATCTACTATTAATTATTAAGTATCTACTATCCATTAAATCTACTATCAAATATTTAGTATGTGCTATTAATTAAGTATCTACTATTAATTATTAAGTATCTACTATCATTTTTCAGTATCTACTACAAAGTATTCAGTATCTACTATGAAATATTCAGTATCTACTATGAATTTTATTTAGTATCTATTAAGTATCTACTATGATTTGTCAGTATCTACTATGAAATTATTTGTATCTACTATTCATTATTAAGTATCTATAATTTTTCTGTATCTTCTATAAATTCTTCACTGTCTACTTTGCATTATTCAGTAACTACTATGATTTGCTCTGTATGTACTATGAAACTAGCGTGTGAGTTCTGTAGATTGTAGAATTGACCCACATACACACCCACCTAAGAATTAAGGGGTTAACCCCTGTGGCCCCAGGCATGCTGGGACACTATTAGAACTGAAATGATAAATTTTCATTGTAAAATGAATCAATAAAGTAATAACTAACTTTTTGTCCCCCTCCAGATTCTCCCCTCGGCTCTCCGGTGATCGCGTCCTCGTCCGCTGGGAGTCAGCGGGGTCTCCCAGAGCCACTCGTACTCCTCTTCCCCGCTCAGCCTCTTCCGGTTACAGGAGCAGTTCCGTCAGCACATGGCTGCCACCAACAACCTGGTGCACTACCCGTCCTTCGACATGGCGGCCCCCTCCTCCATCCCCTACCTGGGCATGAACGTCAACATGCCGGCGCCGCTGGGCTCGCTGCCCTGCCAGTCTTACTACCAGTCCCTGTCTCACCACGCCCAGCAGGTGTGGAACAGCCCCCTGCTCCAGGCCTCGGCCAGCCTGCCCAGCCACAACAGCAAAACCACCAGCATCGAGAACCTGCGCCTCCGGGCCAAGCAGCACGCCGCCTCGCTGGGGCTGGACACGCTGCCCAACTGAAACTGACCCAGACGAGCAAGGACTGCCCGAACAAAGGGAGCGCTTGGCTAAGTCAGCTAACCTGCCGCCAGGAACTCTTCCTGCTGAAAAATGTACAAAATAGCACATTTTGGCTGCCATAGAAGATTGGCTTGTATGTTGTATTTGCTGTCTTTGATTTCTGAGCGAAGCCTCTTTCCCATTGTTGACAGAAATGTCCAAACTGTTTGTGGATTTTGTTTGGTCACCATTCACTGAGAATACTGCGGCTTTTGCAATTAAGAAAAGGTACAATAAGCGCAGTCTCTTCAAACACGGCCTGTAAGCGCAACGACTTTGTGCTCAGAGCGATCTAGGACATGAGTTCATGCGACAGGTATGCGCTAATGTTACTCACTGTACCTTTAAAACGTCTTGTAAACATGTTAACACTGACACTTTCTCACGTTCTTCCATCTTAAATGGGCATACCTGTTTGACTATAGCACTTTTAATAGAAGAGCTTAGTGCCTTGCATGCACTGAGGCAGTCTGTACACCGTAATTCAATTAGTCTAGTGCTCAAATTACACATTACATAATTCCATACGTACGATGTAAATCCCTGCCTTGTAACACTAAATTGCTTAATTAAACCTGACTAATTTACCTGTTTAATGGCTAACGTTAAACGCTGTTAAACCCGAACAGCTGGGGTAATGAGAACATGATTCCAGTGAGTAGCCTACATAAGCAAAGCTTTTAATTACGTTTAGCCTTGGGCTGAGGAAGAAATGCAATTACAGACCGCGCATATCATTTGAGACTGCCGTATATCTAAGGGAAAAAAATAAGCACAAGTGCTGCTTCCTGCAAATGCATGTTAGCAAAGTGACACAGAAGGGATGTAAACGGGATCCAAACGTCAAAAAAGCAAAATTTTCGGCTGCGTTTTATTTGCATCGATCCACAACACGTGGTTTGGCAGTATTTATTACTGTTTGTGCTTTTATTTATTTACTCTTTTGTTTCATTTCGTACCTCTTTCCGTGTGGCGGAAGCACTTCCTCCATGTAGAACGCACTTCCCGGAAGGCAGTTCCGCCCCTCAGTTTCCCCCCCCGTTCTTCTCACCGCTCGACTCCCATCGTGTTTGTAAACTATTTTAATATGTAAATTACACAAAGTCTTTATCTATAAATGTTTACTGGTAAGGCAGATGTTCTATGTTTTAGACTGAGCAGAATCTAACCACCTCCCCGTGACGATTCTCGTAGCTGTCCGTTGTAAGACTGTAATTGGTTGGACGGTAACGTTAGTGCATCTTTCCTCTCCGCCGGATTATTTAATCTTAAACTGGTCTGGTCGTAAATGTAAAAGCTCCTCCGAGTTGGTTTCCATTGTTGCTGTGGTCATCGAGTTGTAAATCACTCCCACTGTTTCCATCACGAGTGAACCTGTAGCGTATATCCCGGTGGAGGGTGATTCAGAAGAACTCTCTGTTACGACTGTAGGCTTGAATACTTGTAAAATAAATCCTCAATAAAACATTGCTTGAAGATCTTTACATGAGAGCTTCATTTGGCTTGGACGTCAATACGACACTGCAAAATGTGGTATGTTGTCGAGTAAAACGATCTTAAATCAAGACAAAAATGTTCATATTTCTCCTGTTGAGATGGTTGTGCACTTATTATAAGATGACTCAAATTTTAAGATAAAAACGTTACTTATTTCTTGACATTTTAGGCAATTTTATCAAGTCAAAATTATCTCACTATATTTGCAGATAATTTAGCAAATTCTTGAGATAATTTTACCTGATAAAATCACCTAAAATAAGTGAAGAATTTCTAGAAATAAGCTGGATAATCTTATAATAAGTGCACAAGCATCTCAAAATGAGAAATATTAGATATATTGACTGGATTTAAGGTCATTTCACTTGACAAGATACCATTTTTTGCTGTGGGTTTCCTTTTTCACTGGACACATTTTACCACACTCTTAAAACAGATGGTTCTTCAAAGGTTCCTTAGTAAAGTCAACAGTTTTATACAGAACCATGAACACTCAAAGAACCAACTGCATGGTTAAATGGTTCTGTGGATGATGAAATGGTTCTTAAGATTGGAGAATGTGTTGCTTGTGGTTCTATATAGAACTTTTTGAAAACAGTTCTGTATAGTGCGAAGAAGCGTTCTGCTGTTGTTAAAAGCTGGACATCGTAACAATAGCAGAACCCTGTTTCGTGCTAAAAAAAAGATGGTTCTACGAGGGTTCTTTAGTAAAGACAACGGTTCTATACAGAACCATGAACACTCAAATAACCAACTGCATGATTAAATGGTTCTGTGGATGATGAAATGGTTCTTAAGATTGGAGAATATGTTTGGTCAGCACCAAAAAGTGCTCTGTTGCTGTTACAAGCTTGACATCATAACAATAGCAGAACCCTTTCCGGTGCTAAAAAGAACCATTTTCAAAAAGGTTCTATATAGAATCATATACTACACTCTCCGTCAATTTGAAGAACCATTTCATTTAAACATGAAACGGTTCTATATTTAACTATATTTGCTAGTTTTCTAATGACATTGGCTAATAAGTATTGCTAAAAGTCCTAGTAAACACTAATTAATATGAGCCAACGAACGTAAGCTTAACTACACGGCATTAACTATCGAGCTAACTAACTCCTTAGACTGGCAAAACAGTAGCTGGCTGTCTTCACTTTGCTGCCAAACTTTAAAAAACAGAACGTATAAAAATTTTAGCCCATTTTTATACCATCAGTTATCAGAAGAAAGTTTCCAAAATGGTAACTTTACAGCAGAAGAAAAAATTCTTAACTCGTAAAAGCTAACAAGATTTTTTCCAAGCCATTTTGGACCAGCTCTGTTGGTCAGGTCAACTTAAAAGGTTAAGTCAACCTTCTGCATAGCCTTTTTTACATTCTCAACTTAGTTTAGTCAAAAGATCTCCGAGCTTACATTTTCAGTACTGCATGTCATTTATGTCTACAAACCCTGCTGAAAATAACAGCTTAGACCAACATGAATTCTATGCTGGTTTGAGCTGGTTTATGCCATGGTCATGTTCGTTGACCAGCATCTAAAACACAACATATCGCTGCTGTCAGAAGAAAAACTCATATCTCCAAAATGGTAACTTTACAGGAGAAGGAAAAAACATACTCTACTTTTAATGTAAGTCAATGGAACCAGACGTCTTCCCAAGTCATTTTGGGTCTTTTCTTTTGGTCCATTCATCATGAAATTTAAACACAATATAAAGGACAACAGGCACTTTTCAAATGATGTCAAAAACTGAAAAACACCAAAAATTAAGATATGAGGTTTGGCTCTGATAGTGGCGATATGCCGGTCTATGCAGGTTTCCTTGCAGAGAAGTACAGTTTAAGATACTTAGAAAGAAAAACGGTGAATGTGGCTGCTTACCCATTAGCCCAGATCGCTTACATTTTTGCTGGATTTTTACTCCTCCAGTTCAGTCATTCCCAGTTTCCACCATCAGGCTCTGACTTCCCATACTATGCAGCACTCCCAGCCTGAGGGGGTGAGGGCGTCCCCCCATACTTCTGACTTCTTTCATTCTTTCTTTTGCTTTTCATGTTACCAGATCTTCTTTGCTATGTTTTGATTTCTGAAACTAGAGAATCGAGGAAGTTGTTCTGCATGACTCGTGGAATAAAACACTGCAAACAAGTCTCTGCTGAATTACTAACATTGGGCCTCGTTCACCAACCGTCCTTAAGAAGACATTTCATCTTAAAACCCACTTACGCAGTTTTTACGAAGACTTCGACATTCACCAACGCTTTCTTATCTGGGATTTGTTCTTAGGAATCTACACACACTCAAGAGAGCAAAGCTGAGAACAGTTCTGCGCTTTAAGAACACGTCATGAATCTGACGTAGACTTTTTCTTAGGACCTTTCTCAAGAACACATTTAAGAACAAACGTAGGAAGATACCAGAGAATGAGACCCAACGTTCTTCGTCACTCCTGCGCTGTGGCACTGTACACTTACTGTGCCAAAGTTTGGAATCACTGGTCGTATTAACACATTTTATTTATCTATTTATTTTATATATTTATTTACACTTTACATATTCTTCACAGCTCTCATTCTCAGGTGTCACTTTAGAGGAGGTTCTTAAAATCATAGGAGAAATGTAAATTTTTTTTTTTCTCTTTTTTTTTTTCCTCTTTTTTACTCTTTTTTCTTTTGAATAAAATGCAGAGGAGCACAGTGTCTTCACAGACGTGGGGGGTTCAGATTGCTTCATTGTTTGTTATTTATAGGTCTGATTTCCTTCGTTTGATGCCTGCTGGAGCTGCAGTTTAGTACTGCAACAGTGTTCAAGATAACCCTCGGTATCTGAGAGGTTCAGGTTCAGCTGTAATAATGTACAATTTGGACAACAATCTGAAGAGACAAGAGCAGAGCAAGCAGAGTCTAGACCAAAAAAAGCCAAACAAACAGGGCAGACATGCAGAGTAGGCCCGAGAGAGAGAGAGAGAGAGAGAGAGAGAGAGTGGGAGGAGAGGGAGGACGGGGTAATCTTGTGAAATAAAATCGGTTTGGGGACATAAGCCATCCCCGATGAATAAGCGGGCCATTATGCTGAAGAATGACGGCCCGGGGCTGTGATTATGCTGCTATTATATCTTAAACAGCGTGGTTTGTCAAAATGCATAAGCCCTTTGCTCACATAAAGAGGGCTCTCCATTTGCTTTGCATTTTTACCAGAGGCTCGGTGCCACTGCCGCGGCGTTCGGGGCCAGGGCCGCTAACTGCTTTTTTAAACGCTCTCTGCCATCTTTAAATACAGCAGCTTTAAACTGCCTGGAAAATACTCAACCTCTGAGTCTGTTTATGCCAGTTCTTCACAGCAGCAAGGCTGCACACGTTTGGCCTAAATATTCAATCAGTTCAAAAGACGGTTGTTAGCATTTATACGCTCAATACGCTGCCGAACCGTCGAGACACTTGAGAAAGCACTAAACGCCCTCGGGA